AGCTGAATCTAAAGATTACATAGTCTTCTTTCTTTTATTCTTTATCCCCCCGTGGATCATAGGCCCTCAACCAACTCACGCCAAGTGGTTCTATCCTTTGGTATATACTGTAGTTTACAACATGTCCCCCATCTTTTTAAGTTAACTCTATAGACCCATCTCCTTGTGTTTTTTTGGTCTGTCATTATTTCTGTCTCCGTGGGTTCCAGTGTAAAGACATTCTAGTTACATTACATTATTGACAGTTTTTCTCAGCATGTGTCCTATTCGACACCAGTGTTTTTTCTTCATCTGTTGATTAATTACAGTTAGTAAAATATGTACTGCTATAACACCTCAGTGAGCCAACCATTGAATGTTGGGTAAACACAAAACTTGGACATACAACAAGCAGAACTGACCAACCACCGATTGTATTAGAGGCTAAAATATCCCCGTAATTTGGAATGTTCGTCAGCATAATCGAATAAAGAAAGAAGAAATGCATTTTTAAAATCTGAACAAAATATGGCAACTAGATTTAAAGGGACAAACATCCCAAATAAAAGCAATAAAATATCTTTAAAACCAGAAGTAAGATGGTTTTTACAATATTTAAAATGTAAAGTAAACATTTTTCTGTATAAATTTTTCTTGACTTAGATAAGCAGATTTAGTAAAATGTAACTCATAAACAACTGAAGCTGATTTTAATTATAACGAAAAAAAGCATGTCAATACTACCACACAAAAAAAGTTGATTTTAATTATTAGCAAAAGTAATGTTCATTAATAATCTACGAGAAAAAGTAGACTGTTATCATTATTGAGAATAAACAATCATATTAAAAAAAAAAAAACACAGCACAGTTTCATTATAAATTAACAACAGTCAATTTTAATTTAGTCAGTTGAAGAATGAATGTTAACATTCATTTTGGGAACTTAACTTGTAACTGAAGGAAACAAGTAAAGACAAAGCAGATGTAAGTATTGACATGAAACAAACTTCAAAGATGAAGTTATATCCAGAAATGTAAATACATATACCACAAAAGCAAGAAGTTATAGTGGTAAAAAATAACAACACAAAGGCATAAAATAAAGTCAATGATTTAAAGAATTTAAAAAAATTAAAAAATGAAAGTGGGTTTATAAAAAGAAGTTCAAGGATGTCATGACAAAACAATATTTTTTTTAAAAATCAATAAATGATGCACAAGTAAAGATTAAATGAATCTAAGATATTTTCCTGCCTTCCTTCCTTTCTTCAGTTTTTTTTTTTTTTGGGAGGGGGTTATTTTCCTTCCATCCTTCCTTCTTTCTTTCTTTCTTTCTTTCTTTCTTTCTTTCTTTCTTTCTTTCTTTCTTTCTTTCTTTCTTTCTTTCTTTTCAGAACAAAACTTATTTTTCTTTCTTTCTTTCTTTCTTTCTTTCTTTCTTTCTTTCTTTCTTTCTTTCTTTCTTTCTTTCTTTCTTTCTTTCTTTCTTTCTTTCTTTCCTTCTTTTTCCCGTACTTTCTTTCTGGGACTGAAATATGTAGGCTACTGGGAAAAACTAATACAAAATAGTAATTAATACATTTTGTCCCCTTCAATTGCACCCAAAGTCAGGAGATAGCTAAAAGCTACCTCAGACTGCAAGTATGAAACTTTTGTTTAGCATGGAAACATATAAGGTAGCTAAACTTATGGCTTAAGAGGCAACTAAAAGCTATCTTAGATTTATGAATAAACTTTTGTTTAGCATGGAAACATATAAGGTGAAAGCTCATTTTAATTATAATCCAAAACGCATGTAAATAATAACTTAATTTTAGGGCTTAAGAACACAATTCCTAAAAGCTATCTTAGATTTATGAATTAAACTTTTGTTAGCGTGGGAAAAACATATAAGGTAGCTAAACTTATGAAGGCTTAAGACACAACTAAAAAGCTATCTTAGATTTATGAATTAAACATTTTGTTTAGCATGGAAACATATAAGGTAGCTATAACTTATGGCTTAAGACACAACTAAAAGCTATCTTAGATTTATGAATTAAACTTTTGTTTAGCGTGGAAACATATAAGGTAGCTAAACTTATGGCTTAAGATAACACAACTAAAAGCTATCTTAGATAGCTTTATGAATTAAACTTTTGTTTAGCATGGAAACATATAAGGTAGCTAAACTTATGGCTTAAGACACACAACTAAAAGCTATCTTAGATTTATGAATTAAACTTTTGTTTAGCATGGAAACATATAAGGTAGCTAAACTTATGGCTTAAGACACAACTAAAAGCTATCTTAGATTTATGAATTAAACTTTTGTTTAGCATGGAAACATATAAGGTAGCTAAACTTATGGCTTAAGACACAACTAAAAGCTATCTTAGATTTATGAATTAAACTTTTGTTTAGCATGGAAACATATAAGGTAGCTAAAACTTATGGCTTAAGACACAACTAAAAGCTATCTTAGATTTATGAATTAAACTTTTGTTTAGCATGGAAACATATAAGGTAGCTAAACTTATGGCTTAAGACACAACTAAAAGCTATCTTAGATTTATGAATTAAACTTTTGTTTAGCATGGAAACATATAAGGTAGCTAAACTTATGGCTTAAGACACAACTAAAAGCTATCTTAGATTTATGAATTAAACTTTTGAAACATATTAGCATGGAAACATATAAGGTAACTAAACTTATGGCTTAAGAGGCAACTAAAAGCTATCTTAGATTTATGAATTAAACTTTTGTTTAGCATGGGAAACATATAAGGTAACTGAAACTTATGGCTTATGAGGCAACTAAAAGCTATCTTAGATTTATGAATTAAACTTTTGTTTAGCATGGAAACATATAAGGTAGCTAAACTTATGGCTTATGAGGCAACTAAAAGCTATCTTAGATTTATGAATTAAACTTTTGTTTAGCATGGAAACATATAAGGTAGCTAAACTTATGGCTTATGAGGCAACTAAAAGCTATCTTAGATTTATGAATTAAACTTTTGTTTAGCATGGAAACATATAAGGTAACTGAACTTATGGCTTATGAGGCAACTAAAAGCTATCTTAGATTTATGAATTAAACTTTTGTTTAGCATGGAAACATATAAGGTAACTGAACTTATGGCTTATGAGGCAACTAAAAGCTATCTTAGATTTATGAATTAAACTTTTGTTTAGCATGGAAACATATAAGGTAACTGAACTTATGGCTTATGAGGCAACTAAAAGCTATCTTAGATTTAAGTATGAAACTTTTGTTTAGTGTGAAAATTTATAAAGTAACTGAACTTATGGGTTAAGAGAAAACTATTACAGACTTAAGACTGCAAGCATGAAACATGTTGAAAGTGAAAACATAAAGTAACTGAATGTTGCTAGTTTGATTCTGGAATCTGTTTAGTTTGCGAATGTGGGTGTTTTGAAGATCTCAGAAGGATCATTACTGGATCTATAAAGTCGTGTACAACGCAATGCTTTTTTTCTGGTGGCTCAGTAGCAGCTTTGTAAAGAGAGACTGAGCCATCTGGTAATAGACAGTTGAGCAATTGAGCTCAATTTATTCAATATTCTTACATTTACACACCTTTCTTTAAAGTAACAAGTTGGATGAGTATGTATAAGTAACAGTTCTTTGCAACAAATGGAATGTTTGCTAGGAGAACTAAGCATGCGTGGGAATGCCTAATGTGCAGTGCCCCTGATCATAATAACATAAATGATCACTATCAGAGGCGAGACATGTATGTAACAGTTGTTATCACAACTTACGCTTTTCATTGCCAAAGATAACAATGCATTATTTTACTCTGTATTACTTCTGTTTACAATTTTTATAAATACGCCACTCAATTTTCATCTTGAACACAAAATGAACACTCGCTGCATGCTCAAGCCACTCATGCAGAAACTGTAACGTGTAAAAGCTAGCAGTTAATAAAAGTACAATGCTAGATGTGCACACACTCTGAACAGTGAAGTGAGGAGAAGGAAAATATCACATGATACCCTCTCCAGTATGGGAGCTGCCTAGATCTAGCTGCTGCAGATCAGAAGAATGTGGGTTCAGTTCCTGACGAGGGCTTGATTTTTTTCAATGACCTTGGCTCCCAGGTCGACCCAGCCTTGAGTGGGTAACTGGTAAGTCCTGGGAAGTAAAGGCGGCTGGCACGATGCTGACCACATCACTCACCAACTGCCATTTTGGTCTATAAAATATAGGTCTAGACCTATATACCCAATACACCTGAGAGGCGTGGGAAAAGGTCCTTAACTTACCCTCTCCAGTATAATCAATATATGCTAACGCATACACATGTAAACTGATCAAACCTTGCCACTGATCAGTACAAGTAAAATATCTGGCCTAGAGAAGGTTAAGAGACATCAAATGTTGCAACTCTTTGCTCAGTAGGAATCTCAAAGGTGTGATGATGATGATGAGTACGATGTAACGTTGAACAATAATGATAAGTGTACTTATAATTTTTAGGGGTGTGGTTGCAACAAGATGCCAGAGTCGAATGCAACAGTAAATAAAATGAGATTATACTGGCAAAACCATTGTCATAGAAATGAGGCCTTAGACTGGTTGCCTCATTTTGTAAAAACATTTGCTGCCTAACCCAGCCCAACATAAACAAGTGTATGGCGCTGGGAGCTTGGCACTCAGGTCCCTTGAGGGCACTTCCTTTCCCCGCCCCCAATTTAATTTACTGGAGTTCAGAACTCTGCAGACATCCTTCATTAATGTCCACCATAAGCAGCGCTGCACTTTCAGCACGAGAAGATGTATAGATGAGGCTGTATTTACGGTGATGATGCAATGACCTGGACAAACTGATGAACTTCAACCTGGCAACATGGGTATCACAATAATATAAATGCCAACGAACATGAGGTAAATTATTTTTCAAACATGTTTAACTTACAAATTCTCTCAACTATCACAGATTTAATGCTTCAAATAAATTACTAACAGTGTCGTTCACTCGGCAATCTCAGGGTTTACATCTAGTAGCTTTACTGTTTCTTCAGATCGGCATCCTCTGGAATGAGTGTCCCAAATGGGTAATCCCACATTTTACTGGATATTCCAAAACCTGATGGAAGACAAGAGATTTGATGAAATAACATGTGCAAGAATGTGTGAACAATGAATTAAGTGTGGATCCGACAAGGAGGGACGGAGGAGAGGAAGAGAAAGACATGTGTATAATTAGTGTGCTAGGGGAACAGTTAACATCTACACCTTTAGACATTTGCTGTGGGAGACAGAGCATCTATGGGTATGCCTGGTGTGCTATGATGTTGATTCTTAAATCAATAATAAACGAAAACCTGAAATGAGAATAAATTTCATTTTTGCATATTATCTACTCGGCAAGTCAAAAAAAATATGAACAAATTATGAATGGAACAATTTTATATATATTAACTTGATACAGCTAAAACAAAAGTGACTTAGTTGTTTTGTCGTATAAAATAACTGACAAGATTATGGCTATTTTGGGATGAAAGAATTTGGTTGAAGCCTTTGCTTGCTTCCTGGCTGCATTTTTGTGTTCACTAAGTTTGTCTACAAATCATCTCAACAGCTAATGTTTTTGACACCTTTCTGTCTGTCTAGACCAGCGGTCCTAAACCTTTCTCAGGTCATACCTTTCTTGAGTATATTGAAAAGTCCCCAATGCCCCCATTGAGTATATAACAAGACCAACACCCCCCCCCCCCCCAGTTTGGAAACCACTGCTCTTAAAAATAAATTTATGCTGTGTTATAAAGGATTGGGGGGGGGGGGGATATGAGAAAACATCCTATAGAAATAAGATCCGCTCATATTTTTTTCTAAAAGTCTTCCACAAGTGCTTGGGATTTCTGGGTTTTTGTTGCTGTCACATGTATTTATACTTCTTCCTTACGTTCAGTCAGTTTCGTATGCTCAGGTCAGATCTTCAGGTGAGCTGCCTCTGTAGATTCACATGTCAGTTACAGGTTCTTCATGGTTCTCTATAGCTTGCTCTGAACACTTGGCTCTCGAAACTGTGTATTTAATATTTTTCTTCTCAACTGTTCAGCTCTTAACCTTCTACTCTCCCTGATTCCCCCCCCCCCCCCCCCCCCTCCTCCCCCCCCCCCAACCCCATCAGGAATCAAGAAGCAAATGATTGTGGGCAGGTTAAGAGCTGAGTGATTGACAAGAAGCACATTAAAAAAAAATATCTGCTATGGCAACAATAGTCCTGAAATCCCATGCTCTAATTGTGACAGATTGTTCTTAATCTGAGCATGTCTTGTAATCTGAGCATGTCTTGTAATCTGAGCATGTCTTGTAATCTGAGCATGTCTTGTAATCTGAGCATGTCTTGTAATCTGAGCATGTCTTGTAATCTGATCATGTCTTGTAATCTGAACATCTCTTGTAATCTGAGCATGTCTTGTAATCTGATCATGTCTTGTAATCTGAACATGTCTTGTAATCTGAGCATGTCTTGTAATCTGAGCATGTCTTGTAATCTGAGCATGTCTTGTAATCTGAGCATGTCTTGTAATCTGATCATGTCTTGTAATCTGAACATGTCTTGCTAGTCAAACTTGCTATCGCCATGACCTATACTATCCATGCATCCCTACAGCATAATATAACAGCATTGTCTGGACAGATGGAAAAGTTCCAGTAACCTGAATTAGTCAGGTCCTAATTACACACATCTTTATATCCCAGTAGAGGCCACACTTGATATCTTCTACTCATCTGTAAACAGATAGACTATGTACTTAGGAGCTCTTTCCTCCTCCAAGTGTGTCCATCTGAGCCTTCTCTGATCCTTCATCCAAGTGTGTCTATCTGAACCTTCATCCAAGTGTGTCCAGAGCCTTCATCCAAGTGTGTCCATCTGAGCCTTCATCCAAGTGTGTCCATCTGAACCTTCATCCAAGTGTGTCCATCTGTACCTTCATCCAAGTGTGTCCATCTGATCCTTCATCCAAGTGTGTCCATCTGAGCCTTCATCCAAGTGTGTCCATCTGATCCTTCATCCAAGTGTGTCCATCTGAGCCTTCATCCAAGTGTGTCCATCTGAACCTTCATCCAAGTGTGTCCATCTGAGCCTTCATCCAAGTGTGTCTGATCCTTCATCCAAGTGTGTCTATCTGAACCTTCATCCAAGTGTGTCTATCTGAGCCTACCGAGACTGAGCATTGAGAAAACTATCCCTACTTCCAATAGACAGTTGTTGACACCTTTCTGTCTTTCTAGAGGATAGTGTTATATTGTGTTATGAGGAGCTATGTGACTGAAGTTCCTCCTCTCTAAAGCACAAAGCCTGGGCTCTCTTGTAAAGATCGTGTGTTGCCCATGCATCATGATCCCTCCCTAGAGCTGCCTTGTTTACGCCGAAGGTAATACCAGTACGTTTGGAACAAGGCAGGCTGCAAAAGCTACCAGATCAGGGAAGCTCTATCTGTCGGCATGTCGGAGCTTCTGTCCTAGACCAGCTGCCAGCTAAGGCTACAAGACTGGTCTGCCCGGCCATAACATAAGTTCTCAGGATGCATTTCCTCCTCCTGTAAGGCTAGTATTCTCCCCAGTGCACTTCTCTCCCTGAAACAAGGTGGGATGTCACGATTGGTATACACCGCCCAACATTCGGCATTAACAGAAGACAGACAGTACTGGCTACTGTTGTATGGCTGCTCTGCCATATTTGACCAAGACCTGACCTGTAACATATGAAGAGCAAGACTAATTGATTACATGGACTTACCAAGCTGTTGATACTCATAGTGATGATGAGCATGGTAAGTCTTCAGTCTCTGGAAATAAGCAAGTGGTGGGTGGCCGCCATGATGCAGGTAGTAATGAATCAGATCGTAAGCCGTGTAGCCAGAAACGATCCCAGCAAACACCGCCAAGGCTGTCCCACTAGGGAACAAGGCTTTACAGCCAAAGAAGAAGAAGACAGCAAAAACTGCTGCAGGTAATGGTGGGAATACAAGACGCATAGAATCCATGGGTGACTGACAGAAGAAAAAAAACAATCAGTCATTGATCAATCATCTAGCAGTCATCCAGAAGTTTTTATAAGTATTCTATAAGTGAAGTGTTTTATCAGTAATTCATCAGTAACATAACAGTTCTGCAACAGTATCCAATCAGTCATCCCTTGGTCATCCATCACCCATTTATCAGTCACCTATCAGTAATCCATCATCTATCATTATCTATAAGTCATCTTTCAGTTATGCGTCAGTCACATGTCAATCATTTATCAGTCATACATAAGTTATTCATCGGTCACTTTTCAGTTATCCATCTATCATTCATCAGTCATCTATGAGTCATTTACCAGCCATCTTTCAGTCATCCATCAGACACATATGAATAATTTATCTGTCATCCATAAATCATCCATCAGTCACTCTATCATCCATTAGTCACTAGATAACAGTGTGTCCAACAACATGTTATAAATCTAGTGTATTCATATATGTGTAGAAGTAGAGTGTGACATTCCCCCATGCATGGAAGCAAATTAGATGTATGGCGTTACTTGCATACTTCTTCTTTTGTCAAAATCTGCTTGTGCCGCTAGGCGTCGCAGTCTATCAGATGATCGGCAACCGAGCCAGGGCGCGCTCAGTCGCTTCATATGCAGTGATGTTATGAAGTCTCAAGTTGTCCGTGACTCCTTCAATATATCTTCTTCTTGGTCTTCCCCTGCCTCTTGTTGTTTCGATTTTTATACTTGCATACACTTAAGGCTAATCGGAACTCTATAAGTTACATGGTCAATATTAGGCCAACCACTTTTACTTCCAAAATATTTCCTAGAGCTCGTCTGAAGTGGGACCAGCAAACTACATTTCTAGCAGGGAGTGAATAAGTTTGTCTGGCAGTAATTTGTTTTTTTCCATCGCCTCCTCATGGTCTCGCTTTATTTGTTTGTTGTTGTTGTTGCAGTTGTTGTTCTTCTTCTTTCTTTTTACTACCTTTCCTTCCCCTTTTTTTTCTTATCCTCTTATTTTTCTTTTTCTTCATCTTCCTCTATTGTTCTTATATTTTTTCTTCTTGTCCTTATTCATTTCCTCCTAAATTTATTCTTCTTCACTTTTTTTCTGCTTATTATTGTTATTTTTCTTCTGCCTTTATTCTTCTACCGCGTAAGCCAGCGTACCGCGATGGAAACCCACTGCTGGCTGCATGGATTTTTATCATGGTACGGGGCGTCGCAGGTCGACCCAGCCTAAAATGGGTACCAGGATGGGCTGTCCTGGGAAAGTAAAGACAGCCGGCGTAATGCTGACCACATTACCCACCGAGTGCTGATGGTCTGTAAAAATATGGGCGCTCTTCCCATATGCCCGATACGCCTAAAGGCGTGGAAAGGGATCTTTATTTTTGTTACTTTACTTTATTCTTCTAATAGGTCAAAGGCCACCAACAGACACCAAGTCCTGTATGGACGTTCATGATTGGCTGGATTGTGCAGATGCGGTTTCCTAGTGAAAGAGCCAGTTACATTTTATGACAACCCTGCTGAGCCAGCTTTTTTGACATGCCTTGTTGATTATATTGTTTTCTTTGCTTCCCTGTAGGACCCTTGTAACATACTGGCAGGAAGTTTTTATTATCATGTGTTAACACATGATTTGCAGCATACAAATCTTGACTAAAAGGTAGAAGGGAAAAAAAAAAAAGATTTTGAAATGTGGGTCTTCAAAAACTGTGAGTGATTTTTTTGTTTTAGATGGAATAAAATGCAAATATGGAAGTTCTACAAATACTTAATAAAAGTCATATACTGCTAAAGGAAATACACATAAATCAATAAAAAGTATACCGGTCGCATTCAAGGTCATAAGTATGTACTAAAAATCCTAATTGACAGAAATGAGGAGAGAGGAGAGAGGAAAGGCTGTTGAGTATTACATATATACATTTACAGACATCTACAAGAAAGGAGACAACCTATGTCCATGTACAATGACGGCCTGGGCAGAATTTTCACGAGGTTCATTCTAAATGTCACTGTGGAAAGACTGGATGATGATTTTTACTTGCAGCTTTTCCGAACTTTATATTTTTAATTAGTTATGTGATGCATTTTTGTCATGAAAGGGCTCTTGAACGTTTATCTGACCTAAACAACCAAGGTCGGTTCTTATTCTTACCTTGTGATGTTGTCCGTGTAAAGAAAAGTGGAGCCTGATGAGAAACGGTGAGTTGGATGGGGGCCTCAGGTGAAAGAGCCAGCGGTGAATGGCGTATTCTAGAAATGTCCAGATAAATATCCCCAGTGCAAACAGGCATGGGATAGAGGTATGACCCAGATGAAAACCTGGCAACAACAACAAGAATAATTGTCAGCTAAGTCATAAATGACATAACAAAACATAACATAACCCTTGACCTGTTTCGGTCGTTGAGGTGAATCAATGGCAGCACACAAAACCAACCATATTTCTTCTTCTTTGGCTTGTTAAACAAGTGTATAGTAGTTTAGCCCTGTCTTCTTCTTTATGCTATCATTTCAGCCTCTTATTTATCCTCCTTTTCTTCCTAGACTACTCTCCAAAGTTCCTTGGAGTTCAGTCTTTGCAATCGAATCATGTATCAACACGTACCCGAACCAAGCTAGCTTGTGATGTTTCACCACTGCCAAGAGAGGCTTCTGATGTCCAGCAAATTAGTTTATTTTTGTTTCTTACATGTTTATTAGTTTCATGTTGCAAATAGCTCATTCGTCTATAGCATTTATATCTGTAAGTCTGAATCACAGTTTCTTCAGTGAGAGTCCAACTCTCACACCCATACAAGACAGACAATACCCGTGATTTGTATATAATGACCTTTACTGCGATGCTGATTCTGCTCTTCCATATACTATTCGCATGCTCTTCTTTCCTGAACGGGCAAAAGCACAGCAGATAAGGCAGAGTGGTCTTTCTGACTGATGCTATGTCAGTTCTACAAGCAATTGTTAACCCAAAAGACACTCAGTTTGTAGACTTGACGCAACAGCTGATTCACCTAGGCTCTTCAGTAGAACAATCTGTACTGCAGTGGATTCCAAGTCACTGTGGTTTGGAAGGCAATGAAACAGCGGACAGATTGGCTAGCAGCGGCAGTGACATGGTACAACCAAATAGCGACTCAACCCACCAAGAGAGTAAGACATTATTAATACGATCTAGTATCCAAGAAAGGTGGCTGGATACACACACCAGATTCTTCCCTCAAGATTCGCTTTGTGACCTCTCTACAGAGGCAAAGTGTATTATATTCCGACTAAGGACTGGGCACAACAGACTTCGTCAACTTTTCGGTGTAAAACACGGAGACCTGTCCCTGTTGTGTGGCACCAGAAAATGCTGAGCATGTGCTCCAACACTGCCAGCTGTATGCTGACAACAGAGATGCAGTCTGGCCTGTTCCAACCACACTGAAGACAAAGCTTGTTTCACGAGGAGATATAGACTGTACGATAGCTTTCATAAAGGCTACCGGCCTTCTGATATAAGCTTTCTGACAGAAGGATCGAAGAAGAAGACATCGTTTTCAGCTGGTACATCGAGGCTGTTGACATATCAAAACTTTGTCCTCACCTTTTTGGTACATCTACCATAGTTGCCTTATGTAAGAGCCAAGCTAACTCATAACAGCAGTGTCCGTGCCTGTTATAAAACTGCACATCTCTGTATAAGGATGGAAGCATTACTGCTTATACAATAGGAGAATGGAATAGCAGAATTTAATTTCTTATCCTGTGCTTTTAAAGGCCTTAATAGGCCATGGACCGTGTTATGTGGAAATGGCATATCAGGAAGGGAATGAGACTAAATGAAGAAATGATTGGAGAAAGGATGAGAGCTGAGCGTCTGAAAAGAAACGGATTAAATACAAATGTTGTTAACAATGGTCCTGAAATCCCATGCCGTGGAAGACACGGGTGGGTCTTGCTAGTCACACTCGCCATCGCCATGGGCTGTGAGTCTCATGCCTCCTCATATCGCTATATAACACTATCGTCTGGAAAGACGGAAAGGTGCCAATGATATGTTGGTTCCCTGAATAAAATGGAGACTTTAAAAGATGTCCAAAGGTCACTGACCATAACATTGCAGAGGCTGAAAGCACTAAAAACGTGTGCCTGCACATGATTTAAGATACGTGCTTCTTGTTTATGGTCAATATATGAATGTTTATTCATGGATTTTGTCTAAATGGGTTAAACAAAAATTAATGAATAAAGGAAAATTTAACGGAAAAAAAATGAAAAGTACATTATTTAATGGGAAACAAATATATGAATAGGGTAAGATGAAACTAAACCACACAATTGTTATAGTAAAGAAACGCATAAATCAAGAACAGGAGAACAGAAAGAATCATCGGCATCATTTTAAGGGCCTTGCTAACTAGTGTGGGTGATCATGCCTCTCCATAACCTGCAATCTTCTGCTGCAGGTTTTGATTTCTCAGCTAACACCGCAACATGCCATGACTAGAACAAAGCTATCAAGAATTTTCTGACATTTTCGTCTATCTCTTTCCCCCCAAATCTTGTTGTCACAACATGTTCCAGTTTCTTTCTTCTCAAATGATTGCCAGAAATTATAACTGTTTCATTATGAAAGAATGACAGAATGCACAAAAAAGAAAAAAAAATACAGAATAGTGACAGTGAGAATGTTAAACTAAAAAGAAATCTGGTAAAAATACATAAAACAAAATTTTGTTTTACTTGGTGCATTTTGTGGCCAAAGTTCCGGAGTCTCTGAGAGAGTTCTGAACGACATCCACAGACTCGCGAACACAACAGGTAACCACGTGATAGGAACAAACCACCAATAGGCTTTCGTCATCATTTCAGCAAAGTCAGATTTGAAGAGTCTGATTGGTCGATCAACTTGCTCGTGTGTCCAATCAAAGTACTTGTCCTCCAGAAGCTCTACCTGTCCTAGCATTGGCTTTGACCAATCAACTAAGTCATTTTTGTACTGGAAATATACAACAACAAACCAACAAGCATAAGCTGAGTTAAATCAAGTCAAGAACCAACACCAAGCACTGGGGACATTCCCATAAGCACACTGCCCCCATCTTCAGTAGCCAGTATAGAGTTCCTACTATGATGGTACCAATAACATCCCGATTGTATGCCCATCGTGCTTCTTTTCTTGAGACCGGGTGATCCACTTGTGCTTCCGCACTGTTTACTTTCTCCTAGTGTACACAAGGCCTTTGAGGGCCTTGACCGCATCTAGCCAGTCGTGCATCAATTTACCAATGAATGATGCCGAACCGGCTAGTCCGTCTGCCTGTTCATTTCCCAACAAGCGCCTGAGGTACAGTGAAGTCAATGAATGAGATTCAACCCCGCCAGAACATCCAACAAGCGAAAAAAACCAACATCGGGTGACACAAAGTACCACCATGTAGATGAGGATCCCCCGGGGAGAGGTCCCAGAAACCCCGTTCAATCGTTATGTATTTTAGGGCCCCTACAACAGCCGGGGTGTGGCTTTAAAATAACGAACAATTGCGTCCTGCTTTCAGACTACGTGTGATGTGAAAACACGGAAATGTTATAGCAAGATCCATATTTCTTTGTAACCAGAGCGCAAACCACCTCACAAAATCAAAGTAAATATTTAGTTTTTAAACTGATAGTTGTCAACACTATTTTCATTGAAACTGTGGTTTCCGACAATCTGCCATTTGCAATAGGATCAAACAGCCTCTGAAGTGTAGACCATGCTCAGATCAAGTCATCAGTATCGGGAACTTCTCATCTCTACCAGGTAACTTTCTTTCCTTATTCCACCCCCCATTCCTCTTTTTGAATTTATATTTAAATATATAAGTGCGGTTGGTCGTAAGTCGAGGAGAAAATGTATATTGTTGTTTTAGTATCCAGAAGTCATGAGTTGTTAACCCTTAGGCTCGGTATTATGGATATCGCAACCTTTCGGCCTTGATTCCATTGTAAATACCGTAAATCTGTGAGAAAATGTGGCTTTCCTGCCTACCCCCGGGATTGAACCCGGACCACAAGGAGTACGTCACCCGGTCTCCGCGAAATCCGGTTTAGCCAACTACGCTAGAGAGCCGGGCGAGAAAGTGTATATAGAATACGTATTTATACAAAACCTGTCAATAAATGACATTATACTTTGACTTCAGAAGAAAGTCTCTGCTAAAGTCAAAATCTCTATCTCACAACACCAAGATCAAAATATATAAAACGTTAAAAAGACCTGTTTTATATGGCTCTGAAACTTGGAACCCAACTAAAGGAGATGAAGTCTTATCACAGGTTTTCGAAAACAGAGTTTAAGACGAATCTTTGGACTCATCAAAGATGTAAACGGCGGGGCATGGAGAGTGAGAAGCAACAACGAAATTCATAATCTGTTGAAATCACAACAGATTATTGGCCTCATGAAAGCTAATAGGTTGATATACACAAGGGAGATGAATGGTCGTAGACCACGAGGCAGACCAAGAAGACAATAGAAAGATAATATCTAGACAGACCTACAAACTATAAATAAAAAAGGACCCTTTGCTAAGCCTTCAGGTGTGTATATATTGCTAGAGATATATTTTATAGACTAATCGGTACTTTGTGGATGATGTGGCCAACACCTCAAAGCCATCTTGACTTCCCTAGGGCATACATCTTGGTACCCATTTTAAGCTGGGTCGACCTGCGACGCCCCATACCATTGGGGAGTACTCTGGGGACGGCCGGAAACACACCATAAAACGGGACTGTCAGAGTGAAAACTTGAGGTATCGTTAGCCCGGGTTGGTGACGTCACGTAAAGCTATCGAGGTCAGCACCATGGCCCGTCAGCTGCAGAAGGCGTTGGTTTAACCCCTTCGACACACGTGCAACTTGACGTTTTTAAAAGTTCCTCCTAGTCAGTTTTACTCAAGTTCCACAGATCTTTTCCTGCCCTGACGCCGCAAGGATTTCCAGGAGTACAGGAAAGAAGAAGAAGAAGAAGAAGAAGAAGAAGAAGAAGAAGAAGAAGAAGAAGAAGAAGAAGAAGAAGAAGAAGAAGAAGAAGAAGAAGAAGAAGAAGAAGAAGAAGAAGAAGAAGAAAAAGAAGAAGAAGAAAACAGTAAACATGCTGATTGCTTGCTTTGAATTAGTATCAATTTTTTCACACACCACAAATAAGGCCAAATGAAAACTAAATATGTTCATTTAAAAAAAGAAAAAAACTCACAAAGACATTATTATCAACAGTCTGAATGTCAAATGTCAACAATGTATACCGAACAGTTACTGGGCTACAGATGTTCAAAGTGCGCCAGGACTCCCTCCTGGAAGGCACTGTAATTCACACATAAATCAACTTGCTAGGAAAGTATGTCACAGGTGGTTTGATATTTTTCAGAGACTACGGGCGACCTCGAAAACTTGAACCCAACATTATTGTAGTATTTATATCCACCAAATCGTCACTTGCACTGTATGTAAACGCTATGGAATTAGGCTAAGGGGTTTCCCAAAGTGTTGTTAATGTGAGTCATGAGTTATGAGTTCGGTTACTTTCACGCACTCCGGACACGTCCATAGGTGCTCAGATTCCCCCTTCAACCTATACATGAGTATCCCGCGGTTAAACGCTCTTTTGAAAACAGACTCCTTCTCGTCTTCATCTTCTTTTTCTTCTTTATCTTCTTGTTATTCTTCCTCTTCTTCTTCGCCATTAGAACAGCTGTTGACACGCTGTGTTGTAATCTACAGCTAGGCTACGGAATTTACATCTTTGGGCATAATACACTCGATTTCAGCAAATCCATGTTTATGTTATATTACCACAATCGATGCCTTTACACATTAGGCATTCCCTAAACTACTCAGTCCTCCGATGCAGCAGCCACTCCAAGGTACCTCTAGTGATTATTCCAGTGATCAGCTGGTTATAGTATCTCTTGTCTTTACCTCGATGACGGCATAGACGCGCTTCACCAAGTTGAACTCCTCGGTCACGCAATCGTGTTAGCTCAGAAATTCAACATTATTCCCCAACATAAACCGTACGACGTTGATTATATCAGCTCTGTCCATGCGTCTTCCCGTCTCCATTGATGCATTACTTGCCAGCTGTCAGCTCTTTCATTACCATAATCCTGAATGAGAAATTAGCCTTGTACCAGGTATTTGCTGTGGCTCTATTTTCCCGTACCGTAACACCCACTGGGATCTCCTCCTTCTGGTCACTACTGAAGCTGGGCCAGGCAAAGGATGCCACTAGAGATACCAGAGGCGCCGTAACCTGGGAGAACGGGGTGGCTCAGCCCCACCCCCCCCCCTTTTTTTGCCTATGTGGTGAGAGGTGCGTGTTTGACTAGGGTTGTAGGGTAGGTAGTCAGACCCCACGCTACTAACGTTTTCGTAGTTTAGGGTGCTCAACACCCCCCCCCCCACCCCACCAACCCCCACTTGAGGACAATAAACTGAGAACTTACGTATTCTTCCAGCCGTGTGATTGTGTCAGGGACATCTTTGTAACTTCCGGTCTGAAAATGAAAATGAAACAAATTCACCATAATCTTCATCGTCATCACAGTCTCTTCCTTCTCCTCCTCCTCCTCAGCACCTCTACACCTCGTCACCATTATCATCTTTAGTCTTCTGCTTCTTCTTTTCTTTTTTTCCATTCAACCATAGGATCTGAACCACAATAGACGAAGTACGGTGGTGCCTCGGCATACGTTCTTAATCCTTTTGACATTACTGGACGTATATATACCAAACAGGGCGTATACCAAACAGGGCGTATAACAAATAGGACGTATACCAAACAGGACGTATACCAAATAGGACGTATACCAAACAGAATATTACCATACAGGACATATGCCAAACATGACATATACCAAACAGGACACATACCAAACAAATGTTGACACAAGAAATAACAGCAAAATTATAACTTTGATCATCATCATCATCATGTTCCCGTGGGGGAAAAAATCACATTGATAGGGTTATATAATTCTCATAAATGCCTAACATAAATACAAAAGCAGTTAGATTTAAAATAAAAATGAAAATGTAACCTCAGCTGACCTCCCTGAGAAGAGTCGATTGCTTACAAGGATGTTACTGAGAAGGAAGGAAGGAAGGAGGAGGAGGAGATGTTATTGTGTGGAAGGAGAGTTCATGTCAAATAAAACTTCCGGAGTCTGAAGTTCCGGTTTTAGTAAACATCTCACCCGGTCAGAAGGAACCCATTATCCCCGGTTACAAGAGCATACAACATGGCAATAGAAGCACCAAGAGGCACAGGAAGGCCAAGAAGAATATGCATAGATGGAGTTAACAACTTGCTAAACCCCAACAAAACCACAATGCAGTAAGACGGGTCTGCGTGCATAATTCTTAACCCTTTAAAAATAAAGTTTGTTCGTTCGTTCGTTGTGTCGTGGTTTACAGCTAGGCTGCAAAACTGCGCCTTTCGTCCACAGACATCCGATTTCAGTGAAGACCGAATTAGCCTCCCCGCGACGTTTCACTCGATCAAAAACTATTCGGCGATGACAGAAACTGTTAACTAAGACGGCTTACAGTACAGTTTAGTTTGGGTCGACACGGATGTAAAAGTTAGTTACAAATCGTCCCTTCGGACAGGGAGAGATGATGGGTGCAGATTATTTTTCTCCGCTATTTGTGAGTATAGTGTACTTTTTTTCATCACGGAATATTATTGTGGGTTCCATCACTGGTTAGGTGATGTAGGTTTTTTTCCTATGTCGGGGGCAAAATTAAACTAAACAGTGTGGCGACAGCACACGGCGCTAGCTCCTCTGGCTACACCAACCTACACAGACAGTAGTGACAGTTTTTGTTGTTGCTGTTGTGAAGGTGGTGGTGGTAGTGGTAGCAGTAGTACTGGCACTGGATGGGTGATGTGGTAGCTGTTACACTGGCTACATTTACTTC